TGATAAATATAAATTAATTATGATACAAATAAAATATGAAAAAATAAACTTTGAATTTTTTATTTTTATTTTTTTAATTTTTATTTTTATTTATTTATTTATTTATTTTTTACCAAATACCAGCTATTATTTCTTGACTTTCAATTTCGGAAAAACCGCTATATATACTTCATGCTAAGATTATCACATTAAATTTCGATAAAAAATTTTCGAACGAAGACGATGCGCCTTTACACTATCAATAAGTATCACCGATAAGATAAGTTAGCAATATACGATTATTAAGCCCTGGTAAGATACGTGAGCGCTCTCGTGAGTTTGGTAAGTTAGCGGAACGAAATGAAAGCGGGGAACCAAATAACCAATCCCTCCTACTGTAAAGGAAAGCATTTCGCTAGTCATAAATTTCGAAAGGTGATAAAACCGAATAAAAAGAAAAGTACCAAACAAAGTAGCGGCCATTCAAACAAAAGTATTATCATAACCACCCATTCAAAAAAGCGTGATCTTAAAATCCTCGCCAGAGGTGCGAACAGCGTTATTAAGGTTAATGCAGCGTTATTGATGGGCAGTGCATATCCATTAATGGGTTGGTGAAATGCCACTTCGTGAGGTGGAGGTCAATGAATAGGGGGTCTAAAGGTCGACACCCATCGTTGGTGGGCAAAATTGCTGCGTAAACTTATAACTTGAACAGATATCTTATAAAAGCTTTGATGGATTTAGTGAAATTGAATGTGAAGTTCAGCGATTTCTAAGTGACAAATTGAAAATGTGCCTTAAACCGTTCAAAATTAGTTATTTGAATTTTACTAGCTTTACTTTGTAATTCCTCTCGTACTTAAACTTTGAACTGGAAACATGACGCTCAGTTAACTCTGACACATTAAGTGTAAATTTCAACAAAAATAATAGAGACAAAAAAGCGACATTTGATGCCATATATATATGTGTTTATTTATCTGCCATGAGCTTCTTACTTTTATACAACAGTTCTTTATCTCTGATATATTCAGATGTAAGAAATTCCTAGAAAGAAAAGATCTTTGAAAGTAGAGATAACCGAAGGAAGTAAAATTAGCTTCCCTAAAGTTTACTGGAAACTTTGCAATACTTTTGCGGTGTAAGATAATATTATTAATAAAAGAGGAAGCACGTATAACTTCTATTTTTCTCCTCGAGTAATTCTACTTGACTGCTTCTGAAATTTCACTTTTTTATACCTAGATGTTTGACCACAATTGCTTTACCGTTAACTGAATAAACGATTCTGCGAATCCTTTATCTGTACATGAAAAAATGAAAAAGATGACAAAAGTAACTAAAATATTGAAAACAGTCATAATTATTTTTATAACATATGACAGAATTAAAAATAAAGTTATTAATTCAATCATTAGTAAATCATCCGTACGCAAACTGCGTCTAAAACTCTGCCAGATTCAGCTTTATTAACCTGAAAGTAATTACTAATTGTAAATTATGCTCCAACTGTTTATAATGGAAAAATGAAATGACGATGAAGCTTTTAATTTTACTTTTGGTTTCATTCTTGTGATTTTGTATCAAAAATAAATTATGCCACTTGTAGTTATATATGAACTGTCCTATTATTAATAAATGTCAGGCAATATAAAAAAGTACCGCATATTTGCACCGTATATTTTTGATGCATATCTTTGAACTTTTTAAACCGTGTAACTAATATGCAGAAGGAGAAACATATCTACATATTATCAACTTAGATAAGAACGGACCTGCTGTTAATTGTATCTGTTCATCGAAATCCATATATGCAGTAAGTTTCAAATCTAATATAAATTATAAATATTGTACATCTCACAAAAATCCCAAACAAAGCCCCCCCCCCAAAAAAAAATCTTAAAATCCATGAAATTCATGAAATTAAATTCATCTGTTCATCCATAAATAAACTAAATGCTTCCGTATAGAAATGAGATAAATGCAATATAATTGGTATTCTTTTGCAAAATGTACACCTTTCTTGTAACCACCATTCCGAAAATCTTTTTAATTAACTTATTAATTTAGGTTACACAATTTTACTACACGCGAACAAAGTGCCAGTGCTTCGAAAGGGCTTAAGGGCCCACCAGCGGCCGAGCGGTAAAGTCGCTGAACACTGGTAGTTCGGTCCGAGGTTCGAATCCCGCGAACGGGCTGGCTGCATCGGTGTTTTCGTGGTTTTCCCCATGTGTAACGTGTATACGAGCCAGTTTCCCTTAGAAAGTCCTCCACGAAGGCATCCCTCCTCTTAGGCAGATAGCCCTCGAGGCTTTGCCATAATCACACGCACAATCGAAAGGGCTTAAAATAAAATAAACGAGGAATGTAAGCCCACAAGTTGTATTATATATCATAAATATGAAGTTAGAATAAGGTGATATTAATGCTTACTTCAAAGAAGGATCAGAAGGCAGTTAATATAACTTTTTTTTATGTTACTTTCAATCATAAAGATAAATCAGAAAGATCAAGACAAATTTATTTGACGTTCGTAATTACATTCATAGATTTATTTGACGTTCTTAGAAAGATAAATTTAGATAAATAAACTAAACTCATTGGTGCAATAGCCCTAGTGGGCCATGGCCTGCAGTGCCCCGAAATCTGCTTTCCTGACCGTGGGCCGTGGGGTGTATGAGCATATGGTCTGGGCAAGGGGTCAGCTTGACGCAGGACCCCCGGTGTTTAGTCCCCAAGCGAAGTTGGTACTAATTTTGTCGAACCACTCAAGGGTTGAAAGGCTATTTGCGCGGGGATCGAAGCCCGGCCCTGTAGTACTGCTGCATGAAATTTAGAAAAATATCTAACTTAACAGTTAGATGAAACAGTTACAGAAAAATATCTAACTTTAACTTTCAGAAAATAAAAATATCTAACTTTAACTGTCTATAACTGTTAAGTTACAGAAAAATATCTAACTTTAAATTATATATAGGTTAACTTAACAGTTAACCCATATATAATTTAAAGGTTTTCTACATGAATATATCTGCTTTAATTTTTCTAGTTTCCTAATAATTCTAAGATTTTTTTTTCCCCGATCCTTAGGAATACCAAGAACTTCCTACTTAAAATTGGGGGTTATATTTTGAATGTCTTAGTTACTCATCTGAAAATTATAGCATTAACGATATTTTGATCTTTGAAATGCATCTTGTAGGATGCTACTTGTAACGCCACATAGGTGAGTCAGCTGTTAAGTAAAATAAGTTGATTTAGATATAGAAAAATAAAAATGAAATTGAAATATAAATTATTATGATAAAGAAATCAAATTACATCCTTTGTTATTCTTCTTTCGAGAAACAAATAATGTGCTTGATGGAAAACAATAGAGTTGTGCAAATATATATACTTCCCACTGATTAGTTATTTACTCAATAATACGAATAAAAAAAATAAGCGAAGTTTTCTTTCACTCCAAAATTATTAATACCAGGACGATCATAAATTAAGACCCTACAGGGAACAGAAAACGAGCCAGGTTAACATTTTACATCATATTGTAGGGATTTATATTTATTTAACTAATAATTTAAAGTTTTATTTAAACTTTCCTACAAGCGATCATTCCCCTAATTGTTAGTACCAGACTAGGTAAATGTTGTAGCGCGCGTGAACGAATGCAAATTTTGTACTTTGAGGGAAGTAGTTAAAAGCCGAGTTTTGGTAGGAGAAAAGAGAGATTTAGACTCTAGCCGCCGTCTCTGCCTTAGGTACGTTTGCTTATTGCTGGTTCAAGTGGCTTAATTGCATTTATCTGCTGCCACTAGTTTCGAAGGGGTTTAAGTTACAGGACCTTGCTGAGCCCTGTAGTCTAGGTCTATCGTTTGTTAATATCTTCAAATTTTAATTTAATTACGTGATTTTCAGTTACCGCCCAAGCAGAGACGATGTTTTTTAGCGTCGAGTTAACGCATTGTAAATTTTCAAAAGATTTAATAAAGGGTATTTTAACCCTTCTCTTGTGTAGTTTCCTGCTACTCCAGTTTCAGATAGAAGTTCACCCACCTGGACCTACAATATAATGATGCTCTTAAGCAAACGGTTTTTCACGAGCAGTCGGAAACTGCTCGTGGAAAACATTTACACAAGGTAAGTTCTACAGCTTCGCAAAATATCTAATAAAATTTACAGATGAAATTTATTATTTTTCAAAAATGTATCTTTTTTAACCAGACACTAAGTAAAAAAATAAGCATGCCGATGAGATAAAATACTGTTTATCGTAAGTTCCATATTCGTATTTATAAAGGGGGTTTAATGGGTCTCACTTACCTGACGTTAAATTAAGAAGTACGTATCATATGGCTTACATATTATAGGAAACGAAAAATAATATAGAAAAATATTTATTAAAATTTTTAAGCTAACTTACCTTAGCATTTTGGGCTTATATAAAAACACTGTCATTAAAATGAGCTCCATAAAAGACTTAAATCATATCATTTTAATTTTATTCCTTAATGATTAGTTAATTAATATGTCCTATTTCAAGACAGATAACATGTTAGTTTTATTTTAAATTATACACAAATATGCTCATAAAAATCTTTCATTTATTTGTAACTTTGGTGTTCTGTTTGTTTTTATGGATCATGTTGATTACAGAGAATTCACACTTTCGAAGCGCTTGTCCGGAATATATTTTAATTGGTGCCTGAAGCCTAACAACTAATTAAAATTCTCCCCTTACTTTTTTTAAGAATGAACAAGGTACAGTTTCATGAAAAACTTTATCATTTGATATCATTAACATCTCAGCCGAAAATTTCAAATCTTATAATTGCAAACGAAATTATGAAAATTGCAAAAGGATACCCGACATTCCATTGTTCATGCTCAAAAAGAAATATGCTTACAATGCTGTCATATGTGAACTATATACTAAGTAATTCTTTAGTACTATAAATTGGTACGTAATTTTGTTATTTAATGCAAAATTTAAAATGATTGAAATAGCTTCAGCTTACCTGAACTCTTGCTTCCGTGAGATCGACCCTCATTGCCAGTTCTTCCCTGAAAGGAAGAAAGAAATATGATAGGAATTCGTTACCGAATTAAAAGATGAACAAATTAAGTTACTACGTACCTAATTACAGCACCGATAACGAAGAGAAAATTTCCAGCATGCAGAATTCAAATTATAATGAGAACTTTATTCAAAATTTACATAATTTGTATAGTTTCTTTTACCTGAAGCTGAATGGCCTGCTTAATTATTGAGCAGAACTTTCATATACTTTAGTAATGAATTTTAAACGTTGTTGTAAAATTCGAACATCTATGTATGTAAGAAAAATAGAAAGAAAAAAAAAAGGTAAATAGTATTCCTGGATTTATAGTTTAATATTATAGGAAGCAATAATTACTTTTTCAAACTTTCAGTAATGTCTTTTGTTTTTGCTTCCCGTGCCATAATACTCTCTCACTATTCTTCTTCCGCGGCGGATATGTGATACACATTCAGCAGAACTCTAAAAGAATCGATCCCTACTGCACTAACATACTTAGATAACGATTTTTCCCAAAGTAATCACTATGTGCATCAAAGAAATAGATATCTTATCAAAAACATCTCACTCAAACTTTTTGCAAGGCTAAATTGAGTTAGGTACAAAAATCAACAGGTAATAACTAGCTTTATTAGCAAGTCAAAATAAATTTTGAATTATGAGCATAAAATAAAACAGCAAAAAATCTTTTGCAGAATTTTCTTAATTACTTCCTGCCAGAACAAGCCAGGGGAAATATCGAATAATGCGTTTCACGAGGCGGGATTTATTCAGTACAGAACTGCAAGAGAAAGGACCTGAACGGTGTAACTGAAATTAATCAGCAAGTTCTGAAATAACAGCTCCCCTTCGTTCGGCGTAATAATAGGGCTGTGCTCTAAAGAAGGCTGTAGTTTCTCATTTGACAGATTGGACAATATTTTGTTGGTATTTTTATATTTATTTTAACTTCGACACTCATTTCTATTTCGCTTGCTTTGGTTTATTTTTTGTGTTTTAGGAAAACATATTGTTTGCACATAATTCACTAATGGGAATTATTTATTCAGGCTATAGTCATTTCATTAATAATAAGATTACTGGATGCGCTTCAGCATTATAAAATCCATATATTTTTTCACTTGACTTAAAATAACAATTTAAGCTAAGTAATTTATTTTTTCCTTTGCAATGAAGGGCAACTAATTTCATAAGATGAAAATGAGATGTTTTTGCAAGATAAATAAAAAAAGAAATCAAACAAATAAATTGATAGTATGTGTATAGTTTTAAGACAGATTAAATACAAGCGTTTTAAATTTAAGCACTTATATCTCGTCAGAGTAATTATTATCAATATTACTAAAGTGCATCTTTTAATGTAAGGTTATATTTCCATTTATTTTATCTTGAAAGTGCAGAGTGAATTATTAAAATATTCATTTCTTTCGTAGTATACTATATGACCTCCATGGTAAATGAAGAAGAGTAATTTATTTTAATTAATTTGAATCAAGAGAAAATACACAGGAATCTTGTATAGTTATGAAGTATATACGTACGTGAGTAATAAATGAATATTAGGTATCTATTTAAATTTGAAGCGTAATAAATTAATTATAGTCCCACATTATTTACCTGAAGCATTTAAACTGTAAACAAGCAATATAAATTTTACATACACACACGTGCACGTGCATACAATATAATACTTTTCAAAATTTTACATTTGAACATCCCCCCCCCACAAAGGGATGATAAAGTAACTTTATATTTTTTCTTCAATGAAACATTTGACAATAAACTGAATTGCGTGAAATTATATAACAAAATTAGTTACTCAACTGAATGCTTTCTAGCCTAACGCGATAAATTTTCTTAAAAGTCGTTTGTTTCTCTTTTCTCCCACCTTCATTTAGGGCAGAATTTTTCTCCTGAACTACTTCCTGATGTAAATAAATAAATAAACAAAATGTTTTACTCGAAGCTTTTGAAAGCGAATTTTCTTTAGACGAGTCGCATTTTGTCTTTTTCGTGCAGATGATTACTGTTTTACCGCTGGATTATACGTAAAGCCCCAACTTGCATGATTACCAATGATTTATTTTAAAAAAATCGGTAGTAAAGTCTACTGTTTAAATCTTCTTTCTCTTTTTTGGGGGGGGAGGGGGGGGAAGCTCTAAAGACACAAAAGCAGGTATAGGTTGTACAAATTCAAACAAATAATTTCGTTTAATTTTTTTATAAACGAAAGCTATTTCAAAGAAAAAACTCAAATACTTCAATAATCGTTGCCATAAATGATTGCATACTGGCTTATTTTAGAGGCTTATTGAAGTACAATTTCTACGTAAGCAAGTATGGATAAATGACTAGATGGAATCCGAAGTAAGCCCTTATTTCTACGGTCTCAGTTTGCACACGCTGAATGTAAAGTGAATACAGCCTTCTCTAGGGTAAAAATTAAAAAGTTATCAAATCTAACACTGCAGAAGGAAGAGACATATTTTTTTTTTTTTTTCCCCTCTCCGGTGGCACGCACTGGCCATTATTGGCGTTGGTCACTACTAAGGTCTGGAGCAGTGGTCACTTTATTACGGAGGCAACATAATGGGTGAACAGTCGTTGCCTCCTATAAAGAGAGAGACAGTATATATCCATGCTTTCTCCGAGGTTCGAACCCGGGCCCTTAGATACGGCAGTGAGAGTCACTAACCAATTTCCCGTCTGGGCGGCGAAAGAGGCAGAATGAAAAGGGTGAGTTATAAAGTTTTTGTCGTTATAAAGTTACTATCGAACTATTTACAGTGAATCTACATTCAGAAATGTCTTAATTACTAACAATTAAACATTCATCGAATTTAAATCAATTATTCTTTACTTTGACAAAAAAATTATATAAATGAATTCGATGTTTAATATAAATTAAACAGCGAGTTTAGAGATTTATATTCATTTAATTTAAGGAACAGTATTAACGATTATTGTATTAATAAATTATATTTTTGAGTTACAATTTAAAAAAAAAAACTTTGAATTGCTTTAAGAATTTAATAATCATCGTTAAAAAGGGAAAAAATTAATTAGGTAATTTTGAAGAAATGGTACAGAAAATGGATATAAAATTCGTGTTTTAAATATAACGTAGGAAGTATGAAATGTTTTAATATAAAATGTTATTATAATGACTATAAAAACGCAAAAAATTTAAGAAATCGAATGACTGTGATAGTTTACATGACTAATATAATGAAAAGTAATATTAATTTAAAGCTATGTAAGTGAATGTTATATTTAATAATTGTATAAAGTATAATTGATAAATAATTATATGTAAAGATAGAGTATGTTGAGGAAGTACTGGTTCAAAACCAGTGGCTGTTTTAACTCTTATAATTGTTCCTTTCACCCTGCGCAAACAATTTAAAATTTGAAGGCCCCACCCTTGTGGAAAAAAGGCCTTTTTTTATTTTTATTTTCACATAAGGAAATTTAGTTGCATATTTGTTGTTTTATACATAATGAACTGCCAGAGCATCCATTAACCACTTATGAATTAATACATTGGTCAGTTAATGTGGATATATCCAGTAGATGGGTATGCTTGTAGTGTTTGAGAAAGCTGTGGGATCTTGGAATAGTGTAAAATAAGAAAATTAGAAATATATTAATAATAATAACCACAGTTTCAGTAATACCATTACAAATGTTGTGAAAATGCATATTATAATAATGAAAATTAGTTATGTTTCGGAATTTTGAAATCTGTTGTGCTTATTCAAAATAAGTAATGGGTGTGTAAAATTTTATAACTGTCATATGTGAAAATTCTTGAAATATCATATACAACTACAGTAAATACAATTATGTGTACTATAAAACACAAAGAATTTGAAATTAAAACTTTAACAGGACTCTAAAATATTATCAAAGTTTAAATTTTGCAATTATTTGAATAGTTATTTTGTCAAAATTCTATGATTTGTATTTTTTAAATTATGTTTCTCTTGCTTTAGTAATTTATCTCCTAAAAAGTCTTTAATATGTAAGGTAAATATATATAAACCCTTAATTCCTCATTTTAATCTCCACTCTAAAAATAATACTAGATTTTTCTGGACTACATCATTTCTAGATTAATCCATTTCACATGACTTTTACTTAACGATGATGACGTAACCAATTCGAACCGAAACCTTCCTTTGAATAAGCTGCCATACTGGATAAATACGTACTTTGCCTCTATTTTTGTTGCCCTACTGGTTTCTTACTATCAGAACAATACTAAGAATATAAGTATTCCGTAAATAGGTGCGATTATAGTCTAAGTGAAAAGTGACAAGAAACGTCAATTGAAATAAAAATTAATATTTAACATACCTCGAGTGCTACGTTTGCTATTGATTGTGGATCAAAATCTAGGCAATAAATATTGCTACATTTAAGTGTACATTATAAATGTATATTTAAAATAAAACATTTAAATTCATCCCATATTCCACTCAGAACAAACCATTAGAAATAAAATCGATAACTACAAAACTACAAAGGAACTACAAAGTAAAAGATTATTTACATTCTTCGTCACATCGTCGTCAGGGGGGTGGTGCAACAAAAGAAGTAAATAAATCAGCCTGTTTCGGATTGACAGTGTATGTATATAACATATATATAAATTAGAAAGCTTATATATATAAATTATAAGGTACTATGAAATTTAGAACCAAAACCACAAAGCCATGAAAAAAATGAAATTTAACACCAGCAAAATCAGATTTCAAACTTTCTATCGCCAATTTGTAACGTCAGTAGCACCAAATAAGCAACCATTAGCTCACTTTTCCCTTTTGAATAGCCGTCTTTTGTTCTACCCATAGTAAGTTCAAACTTTTATTAAATTGGTAAAAATATTTGCTCTCAGTTAATTACAAACACATTTGATAAATTATTACGTTTTAATCTGAATAATTTGAATTTTCATATTAGTAAATACTATATGTTTTACTTTTGTTTTATTAGGCATTG